AAAAATAATATTGCCCGGCTTTTTATTTTTTCCAAAAAAAAAAAAAAGGTAGTGTATATCATTTATAATTTGCTTTATTCATTGTTTTTAAATTCTTAGATTTGGTTTTGGACCAGCACGAGATGTCAGTTTCTTTGGGAGAGGAGGTGAGGAAGAAGATCCGAAATGCTCTCCTTAAACAGCACCACCATCAGAACCAGAAGAAACTGGCTAACCGGATCCCAATCGTACGCTCTTTCGCAGATATCGGCAGGAAGCAATCCGAACCGCACTCCATGGATAAGAATGGTACTGCTCCACACACTCCAGCAAATGCATTCTTCTGCTTTTGCCATGCATCTGTCTTATCATCCTTTTTATTGGTGTGTCTGTCTGTGTGTCCCAGTTATCATCACGACCCAATCGCCCCCCAGTTCCTTCTCCTCTCTCTGGTCTAGGTTCAGCCACAGTGTGAGAAACAGACAGGTGCTCTTATGTCCAGCCTGGTCCCTCCGCTGTCCCAAGTGTCTGTCAGCTCCCCATAAACCCCATCCATCCCTTTCTGCCCTTCCTGCCCCAGACAACCCCCTCATCCGGCCCAAAAAACCCTGCATCCCCTTCAGCAAACGACTAAGCCCGCCTTACGGCTACCACGTTATCCCCACCCTCGACCCTGAAGAAGAGACAACATCAGGCAATATGATCATAGATTCGCCTGTACTCTGAAGGTGCAGTCACATTAGCGAAATTTCGAGAGCAAAAAAGGTCCATTGTTAATAGTGTAGAAGTTACCGTCAAACCAAACAGCTTTCTGTTGGTCAATGCTGCAAATTTGTGTGACCCAACTTAAATCGGATGGAACATCAATTTTTTTCCCTCACAAGAAATTCCTGAGCATGTTTGACTGGATTTTGCTCACAAAATTTCACGAAGAGCGCTAAATGTGACTGTACCTTAATGTATAGATATGGAATATCTAGATATCACAGTTGAATGATACCATGTCAGTTCATTTGCATATGTATTATCTTGGCCTTTCCAATATGGTGGACTTGCAAATGTATCATGGTAATTACCAACTGTTTATACAGAGTTATTTAGGTATTCCATATCAATGCTCTAACCAACAATAAACATAGCGTTAGTGTAGCATTTAACCACTTAGCTTTGCGTTTAACCACCTAGGAAGTAGTACTGGGATTTGTAGTAGACTTTTACAAATCCAACCTCATCTAATTGTTTCTGCTTCTGATTTAGTTTTTACATTTGAATTAGATTTAGACCAGGTTAAGATGTTTGTAATCGGCCTCCTTAACATGTTCCTTTCAACAATTTTTAACCAGGTAAGTGTACCTACAGTAGGTCTTAATCTCCATGACCGTGACATCACTGTCTTTCTTTAAAACAATCGAATCAGTTGTATGATGGTCTCTTATTTATTTCCTCTGTTTTTTATGATTGCTGCACTGCTTCCAGGTCAGATGGTGTCTCCTCAGGCTCAGCCCACCACTACAGAAGGACGTGCGGATGGCAGTCGTGAGAACAGTGCTGTTGACTTCAGCAAAGTAAGAATCACCTTCCAGACAGTAATAAATCTTATTCTGGAACTTAAATATACAAATATACACTACTGTTCAAAAATTTTTTTTAAAGAAATTAATACTTTTATTCAGCAAAGTAAAGAATTTTATGTTACAAAAGAGTTATATTTCAAATAAATTCTGTTCTTTTAAACTTTCTATTAATCAAAAACCCCTAAAAACTGCATCATGATTTAAATACAGAATTTAAGAAGCATGACTGATTTCAACATTGATAACAATAAGAAATGTTTCTTGAGCATCAAATCAGCATATTAGAATAATTTCTGAAGGAGCCATTTGAGTAATGGCTTCTGAAAAATCAACTTTGCTAACAAAGGAATAAATTTAATGTTAAAATACATTAAAATAGAAAACAGTTATTTTAAATAACTATTTTAAATAAGTAATATTTCACAATATTACTGTTTTTACTGTATTTTTGAGCAAATAAATGCTGCCTTTGTGAACATAAGAGACTCCTTTAATTAAATAAAAGTATTTAAATAATGATAAATAAAACATGAAATGATTCAGGTAGATTTAGGGACAACACTGTGCATTATAAGCATGCTAAAAAAAGTTGTGTTGCTGAGGAAGCATGTTTTTGTGTCTACAGATAGACCTCCACTTCATGAAGAAGATTCCACCCGGAGCTGAGGCATCCAACATCTTGGTTGGTGAACTGGAGTTTCTAGAGAAACCTGTGGTGGCCTTCATCCGTCTGTCCCCCGCTGTGCTGCTCAATGGCCTGGCAGAGGTCCCCATCACCACCAGGTAAGAGCAGAGAGATCTGAGCACAAAAAACATGAAACATATTAATGTCTCGGTTGGTCAAGTTCATTTTATCGAGCGGTGTGCCTCAGAGTTCACTACTAAGTCCTATGTCATTGTCCAGGTTTCTCTTTATTCTGCTGGGGCCAATGGGGAAAGGGCCTCAGTACCATGAGATTGGCCGCTCAATTGCCACGCTCATGACAGACGAGGTCAGTACTATGGACAACACTGTGTTTATTTCTATATATGATGATATACTATAGGCAGCAGGCTGTTATGTATGCTAATTTCACCTGATGGTCTTTTCTCCAGGTGTTCCATGATGTAGCTTATAAAGCAAAGGATCGTTCTGACCTTGTGGCAGGAATCGATGAGTTTTTGGATCAGGTGACTGTGCTGCCCCCAGGCGAGTGGGATCCTACCATCAGAATAGAGCCGCCCAAAAACGTGCCCTCACAGGTGACTGAGATCTCAAACTCCATGCAATGATTCATCACAGATGCTGGAATAAGTGATGCACAGAAATGTCAGCAACCAAAAATATTCAACCAAAAAGTATTTTTCGGTTTCCGATGGCTTCACTACTAGTTATTATAGCACAGTATAATCATGAATGAACATTAGAAGTTATGTTGAAAGAAATAGTACAACTTACTAAAATATATAATGTCTCATGTAATCACTCAATCAGTCTTATAACAATGGAAAGATGTCAATAAAACAGCTTGTAAACAATGTCACATAATGTTACATTTACCTCAGGAAAGCTATTCATTGTCCATAAACTTAGCTAGAAAAATTAACACTAGAGAGGAACATTTTGCTAAATATATGAGCTATATTACATATTCATTCACTTTAGTGCATCACTAACTGGAATAGACATATTTTTCTCTCCGGTCTGAGATCAGTAGTAATGTTGGTTCTGTGTCTCCATCTTGCAGGAGAAACGGAAGATTCCTCCTCTGGCCAATGGAGGGGCTGATCTGGGGGAGGCCGAGGAGCACGGAGGCCATGGAGGACCAGAGCTACAGCGCACAGGGAAGTGAGTAATCTGCAAATATGTACTGTGCATATATTTTAGTGTTCATGAATTCTGTATATCACGGAACTGGATCTCAGAGGTGTTCTTTTGTTTGGATTGTCAGGTTTTTTGGCGGTTTTTTTCTGGACATCAAGCGTAAGGCTCCTCAGTACCTGACAGATTACACAGATGCAATCAGTTTGCAGTGTCTCGCCTCCTTCCTTTTCCTGTACTGCGCCTGCATGTCTCCTGTTATCACCTTCGGAGGTCTGCTGGGAGAAGCTACAGAAGGACGCATAGTAAGGACACGTGCAAAAACGAATATTAAAACTGATGGGTTGATTATGATGTGACTGATGATTTGTTCTTCCCATTTCTCTCTTAGAGTGCAATAGAGTCTCTGTTTGGAGCCTCTATGACGGGTATAGCATATTCTTTGTTTGCTGGGCAGCCCCTCACTATCTTGGGCAGCACGGGACCTGTCTTGGTCTTTGAGAAAATCCTCTACAAATTCTGCAAGTGAGACTCCTTTAATTTGCATTAAGCATTTTGATTTCTTTCAGTCAGTTCAGGGGAATTCACTAGTGCTACACTATTTAGTGAATTCACCCCCAAGGTGTCCTTCATAATTTTACCATGAAATAAAGGCTCATTTTTATCTCTGTTTTTCTCCTCAGAGAGTATGATTTGTCCTACCTCTCCTTACGCGTGTGTATTGGTCTGTGGACGGCCTTTATGTGTCTTGTGCTGGTTGCCACAGACGCCAGCTCACTGGTGTGTTACATCACACGATTCACAGAGGAAGCCTTCGCTTCCCTCATCTGCATCATTTTCATCTACGAGGCTCTGGAGAAACTCATTCATCTGGGAGAGACGTACCCTTTCAACATGCACAATGACCTCAACCAGCTCACTCAGTACTCGTGAGTACTGACACACAAACACATCTTCCTCAAGGTCACTTCTATAAATTCAGTTTTACATGTTGATAAAGTTTTCAGCGTTAAATATTGTGATGTATTTATTTATGTGTATTTTGCAGGTGTGTGTGCACAGTGCCTGAAGAGCCCAGCAATGCCACACTGAATTACTGGCAGGAAAAAAACATCACTGCATCTGATATTGACTGGTTAGGCCTGAATGTTAAGGTGAGTGCGACTATTGGTGCATTAAAATCCTCCTAGGAAGTTTGTATTTATGAGTTGGGAATTCGTAAATGTCAGGTGCATTTAAGCTACTTTGGTTAAGATGGCGACGTACAATTTCGACAAAAAATGTATCATTTCGATTTTTTTAAACTCGTCTTTAAGAAATTATACATGTGGCTTAGCTAGTTTTATTGTAAAGGAAAAAAAGTTAATTCCAACAAATTTACAGTCAATAAAGACTCTGCTCCTATTGTGTCTGCCATTGCTTCCCACTCATAATTATGACTTTGTGGTGGCATGTGCGTTTAACTTATAAATACGATCTTTCTGATATGACTTGAACACACCTCATTCTAAATGCAATACTACAATGCTAAATTCTGATTTGATAAACAGTATGAGAAACAAGTGTGCATTATGCAATGATAAATATCTAGGGCTCTCAAGCAATTAAACTTTAGGTAACACTTTACTTAATGCCTTTATCTATAATGCATTATAAAGGGTTAATAAAGGGTATAATGCATTATAATTATTCATAATGTGTGTTGTAATACATTACATCTTGTTATAAATTGAATTTAAAATGCATAGTGTAACAATTAATTGATAAGTGTTATAATGCATTAACTGTGGTTACAATTATTAATGAGATTGTACAATGCATTTTAATATAAGGTGCATTACAAGGGATAATTAATACATTAAAACTACTTATAAAATGGATATTTCCGGTCCTTGATTCTGATTGGTTGAGCCGCGTTCGAAGCTGTTGTAAATTACACTACAAACATACACCTTTGTTTACTTCTGTGTGTTGCTCGGCAACCACTTTGTTGGAACCACAATTGTTTCTGAGGAACTACATTGTTTGGTGGAAGAATACTGTTTTTTGTTTATATCATTACACTTTATTTACTCTGTTTTACCTGCGAAACCTTACTACGTATATGGAATAACCGTTTTATAAAAGCAGTAAGCCCTGTGAAGCCGTGGTTTACAGTAAATTTATAACAGAAAAAAAAACCTCTTAGCTGTTATAAATTCACTGTAAACCACAGCTTATTGGGGCTTATTGCTTTAAGTGTTACCAAAAATGTTAATCTAATTACATGATGTGCCTATTAATTAATCTAATTAATAGTTTGCACAAAAAGTGATGCACTATTTATGAGGGCACATTCATTTGTGCTGTGAAATTAACCCCCAAATATATAGTCATTATTGTGCTAAATGAGAAAAGCATCGAAAAGATATTTCAAAAAAGTAGCTTTAGGAAGAAATATTTTGATTCAACATAGATTTTATTACACATATGGCTGCATTGTGGTCATAACATACTCTAAATATGAAACTAAAGCCACCAGTAGGTGGCAGCAAGTCACTGTCTTAATGTGTGAGTCATTCATTCAACTGAATCGCTCAAATGGTTGATTCATTCAAAAACGAAGCTAGTGCCTTGATCTTTATGAAGGAGTCACTGAATCATTGGCTCACTCTATTTATTCGAAAATGTGGATTTATTCAGCAACAAAACTTTGTTTTGGAACTGTTTTATTGGCCAAATTTAGTGAAAACAGACAATACTATGTCAAAAATGTTACAATATTAACTTGTTAATTGTACTGTTGTATAAAATCAATATCACATATGAATTTGTTCAGATATTCAGGAAATAAACAGCTCTCTTGTTCGTGTGATATCGCTTCATCATGTGATATAAATGTCAGACGAAAACCCACACAGGGGCATTTTTTTCTTTCATTTCTTGAATTTTATGGACATATAAATGCATTCTCTGAGGCTACATCACACAGTCCGTTGTCGTCCTGCATCATGTTTGTTAGCAATTGCATGTAATGTCGTACAGAGCGGGGTGGGGACGTTAAATGCGTTAATCATTAAGCACATTGCATTGTGGGATTGTATGTTCCACACAAACTCAGCTGGTTTGTATACTGCACTTTTTTTTTTATATATATATATATTTTTACAAATAATAGATCACCGGTACATACAGAAAATTTGCATACAGTTTACGGTACTGCATACTACTTTCTGGTAAAACCAGTATATCATCCCGAACATTCCCACAGACGCCCCTCTCATTTCTGTGGCTCAGATATGGGTTAATACATTTCAGTGACTCGTACTTTAATAAAAGCAAATCCTCTGCTCATTCACCCCAGTTCCCCTCCCTCCGCTTTATGTTTAAGCTCCTGCACACACACAAATATACAACACACAATCTAATCCACTATAAACTAATTCTTGTGATATTTCCACAGTTACACACGACCGTATATGATTTCATCCTCTTTTTTTTCTGGAGTTTGTGTTTATCTGTGTTCTTCATCAGAAGCAGATGTGATTACTGTGTGTTGTGTTTCATCTCAGGGCTGTGTGGAGAACAGGGGTGAGTTTGTGGGCAGAGCCTGTGGTCATCACGGTCCATACATCCCTGACGTCCTCTTCTGGTCTGTCATTCTCTTCTTCTCCACGGTTGCCATGTCCTCCTTCCTTAAAGAGTTCAAAACTAGTCGTTACTTTCCAACCAAGGCAAGAAGCTTGTGCGTGGTTCAGTATAGATTAGTACAGACAACTGTGAAAGTATATGTGTGTGTGTTTATGTAGGCTCTCAAAGAGGTTTTAAGAGTGGACTAGGGAATCTGCAAAAATTGTAACTGAAAAAAGTTTTTTTGTAGGGCTGTCAAAGTTAACTTAAAAAAAATATATATTATTTTGAGATGAAAACAGATTATTATATTATGTTGCATATTGAATAATAATAATAATAATATTTTTAGTATAATACAATTAAATATATAATATTATTAAATATAAAAAATAATTATTATGATGATATGATTATTATATTTAATATTACAATGTAATTGCATATTCATTTTATATCTTAGATATGTATTAAAATATATTTAGATATTATTATTATTATTATTATGAATAATATTGATAGCAATTATTGTTTTCTTTAATTTCTTTAACTTAATATTACTTGATTCAAATGAAAGTTTTGTCTGAACAAAGTCTCTTTTTAAATTAATTAACTTTATTTTCATAAATAAAAAATAACAATGTATTTAAAATATGTATTATATTATATAATTAAAATATTATTATTAAAATAATAATAATTATTATCATCACTATTATTGTTTTAATATAATAAACTTAATTTTATTATATTAAGATACAAATAATTATCTTTAATAATATAATGTATATGTATATTTATTTTATATATCTATATATAAATAGTATATAAATATATAGTTATATATTTATAAAAAATGTTAATTAATATAATATAATAAATATAATATAATATAATCAATTTATTTAGACCCATTATACCTGGCCAGTAGTCAACCGGCCATTCACATTTTTAAGGCTCACAGATTTATGTTCATTTTCTAGCACTTACTCTAATTTTGTGTGTTTTTAAACAGGTGAGGGCCATTATCAGTGATTTTGCTGTTTTCATCACCATCTTGACTATGGTTCTGATCGACTACGCTCTGGGGATCCCGTCCCCCAAACTGCAGGTTCCTAATGAGTTTAAAGTGAGTCGTTGAGAGGTTTTTAAGTAATGTGTCCTTTTCATTTGTACATTTCTGCATAAATCTATCCTCTGCATATGAATACTTAATTAATCAGATGATCTCTCACAGCCAACCAGAGATGACCGTGGCTGGCTCATCAGCCCATTAGGACCAAACCCATGGTGGACCACTATTGTGACCTTCATCCCAGCTCTGCTGTGTACCATCCTCATCTTCATGGACCAACAAATCACTGCCGTTATTATTAACCGGAAGGAACACAAGCTGAAGGTATTGCTAAGTCCTACTCAGTATGCTTCATTTGGTAAGCAGATATTCTTGTAGACTTGATGTCCTTTGTTGTGTCCGTGTGTCTCCACAGAAAGGCTGTGGGTATCATCTGGACCTGTTTGTGGTGGGTGTGATGCTGGGTGTTTGCTCTTTGATGGGCCTGCCATGGTTCGTGGCCGCGACGGTGCTGTCAATCTCCCACGTGAACAGCCTGAAGCTGGAGTCCGAATGCTCTGCGCCTGGAGAACAGCCCAAGTTTTTGGGCATCAGAGAGCAGCGCTTCACCGGCCTCATGATATTCGTCCTCATGGGCAGCTCAGTGTTTATGACCTCCATACTGAAGGTCAGTGACCTTTGGCTCAGATTGAGTCAGGCTAACAAGTTTGATCAACACATGATGCTTGCATTAAACTTTTGAGATCTTTCATCATGTTTAATGGCTATTATTTTATGTTTTTGTCCTCAGCTTATACCAATGCCTGTGTTATATGGCGTTTTCCTCTATATGGGAGCGTCGTCTCTCAGGGGCATACAGGTACTGCAATTGCTGAATTCATATATTGTGCTTGATAGTTGTTTATTCAGATGTTTGTAGGAGTGGCTTATGTTATTTTAGTATTGTTTATATACTATTATAGCATTTATTAATATTTTGTATTAGCTTTTATTTTTTATATTCTCAGTTTTCATTTGAGTTTAAGTAATATTATGTGCTTTTGTAATGTTTGATATATTTTATTGAAATATTTTAATAATTTATAATAATAATTTATATCATAATATAATATAATAATTTATTTAATTTAAATATTTCCATTTAGCTGTATAATTTTATTTAATTTAATGGTTTAATAATTTAAATATTTCATAATCTATAATAATTTATCTAATAATATAATATAATAATTTATAATATTTTATTGTTAGGCTTTTGCTTTAATTATTTTTAGTACCCCAACTTCATCTTAATTTATTTCAGTTAGCTGCCAAGTAAACATTTCTAATGTTCATTGCTTTAAGTTTTTTGTACAAATCTAATATTCATATATTATATGAATATTAGATTAAACTAATAATGTGTTTGTGTGTGTGTATGTGTATATATATATATATATATAAATAAATAAATAAACATTCTTTAATAGTTTTAGCTTTCCTTTTTTTGTTAACAACACTGAATTGACAAATTTGACAGTGTTGTGTTTGCCGTTCAGTTCTTTGATCGTCTGAAGTTGTTTGGGATGCCAGCGAAACACCAGCCTGATTTTATCTACCTGAGACACGTCCCGTTGAGAAAGGTTCACCTGTTCACCATTATCCAGCTCACCTGCTTGGTGCTTCTCTGGGTCATCAAAACTTCCAGAGCTGCCATAGTTTTTCCTATGATGGTAAGATGTGTGTTTATGTTTATATAGATACTGTGTGTGTGTGTGTGTATACACTCACTGGCCACTTTATTAGGTACACCTTGCTAGTACCGGGTTGGACCCCTTTTTGCCTTCAGAAGTGCCTTAATTCTTCGTGGCATAGATTCAACAAGGTGTTGGAAACATTCCTCAGAGATTTTGGTCCATATTGACATGTGATAGCATCATGCAGTTGCTGCAGATTTGTCGGCTGCACATCCATGATGCGAATCTCCCGTTCCACCACATCCCAAAGGTGCTCTATTGGATTGAGATCTGGTGACTGTGGAGGCCATTTGAGTAAAGTGAACTCATTGTCATGTTCAAGAAACCAGTCTGAGATGATTTGAGCTTTGTGACATGGTGCATTATCCTGCTGGAAGTAGCCATCAGAAGATGGGTACACTGTAGTCATAAAGGGATGGACATGGTCAGCAACAATACTCAGGTAGGCTGTGGCGTTTAAAGGATGCTCAATTGGTACTAAGGGGCCCAAAGTGTGCCAAGAAAATATCCCCCACACCATTACACCACCACCACCAGCCTGAACCGTTGAGACAAGTCAGGATGGATACATGCTTTCATGTTCTTTACGCCAAATTCTGACCCTACCATCTGAATGTCGCAGCAGAAATCGAGACTCATCAGACCAGGCAACGTTTTTCCATTCTTCTGTTGTCCGATTTTGGTGAGCCTGTGCGAATTGTAGCCTCCGTTTCCTGTTCTTAGCTGACAGGAGCGGCACCCGGTGTGCTCTTCTGCTGCTGTAGCCCATCTGCTTCAGGGTTCGACGTGTTGTGCGTTCAGAGATGGTATTCTGCATACCTTGGTTGTAACGAGTGGTTATTTTAGTTACTGTTGCCTTTCTATCATCTCTAACCAGTCTGCTTATTCTCCTCTGACTTCTGACATCAACAAGGCATTTTCGTCCACACAACTGCCGCTCACTGGATATTTTCTCTTTTTCTGACAATTCTCTGTAAACCCTAGAGATGGTTGTGCGTGAAAATCCTAGTAGCTCAGCAGTTTTTGAAATACTCAGACCAGCCTGTCTGGCACCAACAACCATTCCACGTTCAAAGTCACTTAAATCCCCTTTCTTCCCCATTCTGATGCTCGGTTTGAACTTCAGCAAGTCGTCTTCACCACATCTAGATGCCTAAATGCATTGAGTTCCTGCCATATGACTGGCTGATTAGCAATTTGTGTTACCAAGCAATTGAACAGGTGTACCTAATAAAGTGGCCGGCGAGTGTGTGCATATATATATATTTGAGTGTGTATGCAATATATGTGTGTATCTCATATGATGTCTGCGTGTTTTCTTGCAGGTCTTAGCCCTTGTGTTCATCCGTAAGCTGTTGGATTTTGTCTTCTCTAAGCGAGATCTCAGCTGGCTTGATGACCTCATGCCCGAGAGCAAGAAGAAAAAAATGGAAGATGCACAGCAAGAGGTACCACCACCCCCCATCACACACTGCTATTGGTCGTGGCCTGCAACAACGCTATTGGCCGGCAATGACCAATCACTGCAGACAATGTTTTAAAAGGACAGGTCACCAACATGTTTTATTCTCACTTTCAGGAGAATCAGTGTGTCTTGATGGAGGATGAAGGAATTGTACAAGTGCCCTTAGAGGGGCATTTTAAGTAAGTAGAAAAAAAATCAGTGTTTGTACACTGTAAAATGGGCAACCTGCTGTTGTTATCTAATCTAAGCCTTAAATCTAACTTTGTTAGAGTATTTATATTGATTCAGTGATTTTAAATAAATATTTTATTGAATAATTAATTTGACCAATTAATGTAGATATTATACAAAGCACACTTTATTTATTTATTTACTTATGTATGTGTGTATTTATTTTATTATTATTATTATTTTAAGAAAACATACACTACCGTTCAAAGATTTGGGTCAGTAAGATTTAGTTTTAAAAGAAATTAATGCTTTTTTTCAGCAAATTGTTCAAAAGTTACAATAAAAATATTTATAATGTAACAAAAGCTAAAATAAATGCTGATAAAACAGATGCAAATAATTGCTGTTCTCTCAAACTTTTTATTAATCAAAAAATTCTGGAAAAAAAATCGCAGTTTCCACAAAGATACTGTCACGCCCTTGGACTGCCCCTGTGTTCCGTGTCTTGTGTTTTGCTCCCCATGTGCTCCCCATGACCCAGTTTCTCCCATGTTGATTGTGTTTATTGATTTCAGGTGTTCCTCGTTGAGTCCCTCGTCTAGTCATGTATTTAAAGAGTGTTATGTTCCTTGGTTCCTTTGTCTGGTGTCTAACGTCAATCCCCGTGCTACGTGTGTGTTCCTTCCTGTGAGTAAAATAAAGATTGTTCCCCTTGATACTCTCCGTCGTCTACGCGCTCCTTCGTTCCTCACAGTAGCAACCATGACAGATACTAAGTATCACAACTGGACATCAAATGGACATCAATATGCAGCAAATCAGCATATTTGAATGATTACTCAAGGATCATGTGACACTAGAGAAAAATTCAGAAAATTCCGCTTTGCCATTACAGGAATAAATCATTTTAAAATACATTACAATAAAAAACGTTAATTTAAATTGTCATTTTTTCCCAAAACATTACTGTTTTGTAATATTTTTTTCATACTTAACCCAACTTTCGAACAGTAGTGTATTTATTTTTTATGAAACATTTTTAGTGTAATAGTAATATAATGTCATTTCATTTCTCATATTTCATATAGAGCTGTACAGCTTGCAGTCTTTAATTTCTGTAAAAATGTTTAGATAGTTTAGATCATAAATGTTCAAAAATAGATGATATAACAGCAATAGTCTGAGCTTAAAAATGCATAAAAATGTGTTTGTGTTTATCAAGGGACGATCCATCCACAGTCAACATTTCAGATGAAATGACAAAGTCATCTTTTGGAAATATCTGGAAAGGCCTCAACACTGACAGCACCAACAAAGATCAAAGCTCCAAAAGGTTTGGATGGAATATTCTCTCGCACACATGACAATATTCAAACATATCACTTTAATCTCACCACACGCCTGCAAACAATGCATTGGGACAATAAAAATACACAGTATTTTATGTTACAGTGGGACATGTTCAGTTTTACTCCTCCTATGGAACATTAACATCTGGATTAAAAAGATCCAGAAGCCTACATTTTCATTCTCAGATCAGAGTTTGGTCATATCTGAGCCCCTTCAGCTTTATTTAAAAAATGCTAACGAATATATAGGATTGCTAAAATGTTTTTATCCCAATTTCCAAAAGCTCCCAGTAGAATTAAATAAGAATCTTAGTGGATAAAGTGATATTCCTAGATAATAAAGTGGATTCATCTTTAATCCAGTTGGCATCCTTCAGGATCTGCACTACATTATGAAGTAATTCCATTAGTGAACTCCTCAAACATGCTGTTCTCTTTAAAATGGAAGTGTGACTATCAGGCTCATATTATGACTGAATTTTTCATCCCTGTCACTCATAAGCTCCCTCTCCTAATGTCTCAGATGCTGATTTCCAAAGGTAAGACGCAACCCAACCCGTCTGTGCACAATCACTGTATATACACTAGTGCTGTGGGTGTCTGGCCTCCATCTTTTGGTGCTATGGTTCATGTTTCCTACATGTTCAAACCTTTTTTCCTTTTCAAAAAAAAAAAACGTTGCGTCTTTCACAAAAATGAAACATTTCCAGGCACTACAAAGGGCATCTTACTAAAAACACTGGTATCATTGTGATACTCAAGCTCTTTGTTCCAGAGCATTTTAGGCTTTGTGTGCATGTTTGTGTGTATTTGTTGAGAATGTTAAATGCATGGAAAAGCATGATTTTTTTGGATAGGTCAAAGGTCGAGGTTTAGCGCATGCGCAATTTTAATGGAGTAGTTCGCCCAAAAATGAAAATGTGCTTAAAATGTGCTCACTCTCTGGCCATCCAAGATGTTTCTTCATCTGAACATTTAGAGAAATGTACAGTAGCATTACATCACTTGCTCACCAATGGATCCTCTGCAGTGAATGGGTGCCGTCAGAATGAGAGTCCAAACAGCTGATAAAAACATCACAATAATCCACAAATAATTTGTTGGTTCCAGCAAAAATATGAGTCATCTATCAGGAGAGAAATATATACACATCAAGCACACCTTACAAGCAAAAACGGTTCATGTTGGTGTACTTTGATGTGAGAGGACAAGTTGGGATTTATCACTGGAGGTGATGGAGGTAGGGATTATGGACTTGTATTTTGGCCAGAAATGATGATTTAAAGGTTATTTAAACCTTGATGGATTTGTTTCTTACAAACAGCTTTTTACTTCACAAGATGCTGATGGACTGGAGTGGTGTGGATTATTGTGATGTTTTTAGCAGCGGTTTGGACTCTCATTCTGACGGCACCCATTCACTACAGAGGATCCTTTGGTGAGCAAGTGATGTAATGCTACATTTCTCCAAATCTGTTCTGATGAGGAAACAAATTCATATTCATCTTGGATGGCCTAAGGTGTTGATTAGATTTCAGTTTTGGGTGAACTATTCCTTCAACTCACTGAGGTCAGGTAGTCATGTAAAATTGGGCTGTCAAAGTTAACACATGCAATTAATTAAATGTACTTCATGCTGTTTCTTTTTTTGTCTTAACACTGATAATGCTTTTATTTAGTTTGACATAACCATTTCATTTTGTTGTGTGAATCGGAATATTCAGAGCTGATTTGAACTAGCAATCAAAACCAACAAAAGAGCAATAATATGTAAGTGCTGTGACAAGTCTCGGTTAGTCAGTACATGTTTTTATTATAATTTTTTAATCAAAAATAAAGAGAAAAATGAATAGAGAATGCTAGTGTTAGAGGGTCAATTTTTTTAAAATAAGAAGAAAACAAGTAGTTAAATAAAAATGGAGCAGAGAGTGCAAGTGTTATAGGGTCAAGTACATTATTTTTTTTATTAATCAGACTCGTATGGTCTGTTTAACAGAGGGTGAAATTTAAGTCTAGAATGATTCTACATATGCATATATGTTCCGCTATGAGAGCCAGCAACACAATAATTACACATTTATTTATTTTTTTCCAAAAAAAAGTAACAAATGCATTAACAGGTTCCTTGTGAAATAAATGTTCAACATTAATTCATATTTAAATTGTTTAAATATGATACATATTTAAATGTTTAAATATTTAATAATTAAATAATTTGAATATGAATTATTTAGTTATTCATTTCAGTAATCAATTAAATATTTTAATCACCCGAAAGCACTAATAAATCAATCTTTTGATCGTAAATAATGAGCTCACACAAAACAGCTTGTATTCTTTTGTTTTAACAGCACACTCTAGTCGCTCACAGTTTCTCATCAGCTTTTTGACTACCAAAGTGTCTTTCTCCATGATGATGTGAGTCTTTCTGTTATTCTGCAGCTCAGCAGTTGAAGTTGCCATTGAACATAAAAGAGGTGATGAAGAGGAGGAGGCAGATTTGGATAGAGAGACGAGTTTGTGAGTTCACGTATTTCGAAACACTGTATCGTGCCACACTGCAAGCACCACTAAATGCTTCTGTTCTGTAGGTCTGTGTGTGCCAGTCTGTGCTAAGGCACCTTGTTATATTTACATGTTTTTTATGTGTGTGTGTGTGTATGGAGATGTTTGTTTCGAACATTTGAATATGTGTTTGAATTTGCCGCCCACAAGGTGGATTGTTGGGTTGTGTTTTTCCAGTCAAATTGTAGTTTCACCTATAGAACTTTAAAAAATGTAAGGTTACTTTTGTTTTCAACTGGGTAGAGTGTTTTTTGTATGTTTTATATATTTTTTAAAGTAGATCCTATTGAAATTCCTAGTCTGAATATGTTTATTATATAAAATCCTTTCTTTTTTTATTATGCATAAATGATAAATATTAATTTGCTGGCATAGTTAAAATATCATAATAGCTAGAAGCACTTTCTGACGATGCTAAAGTGTTTTTGCAATGGTTTATATTTACTATTGAGTCAATAGGACTATTTCATCAGTCCCTAAAGTGTCATGTAAGTTTAACACATGATTAACGAGTTATTCAAATGTCCATGTGTATAAGGGATCTATCCTGAAGTCCAGCTGTTTGTAATTTACTCCAAAAAGCCGTTCCTCATGTATATGTTCTGTAGAAATAGGATTATTCATCATGATTGTTGTTGTTGTTGCCTATTGCTGCAAGGGCATGTATCGAACTTATACTGTTTAAAGACGCTGAAGCATTCAGGCGCGATCGAACCTGAACAATAAAAGATCAGAGAAATCAGTTTCACTTGTTTTGTGTTTTGCCTTTGGATAATTATTTTATTTTATAATAGAGTGACGCTGTGAAGTGCAGAACACATTTAGCAGGGATGTTGAAAGAATTCTAAGTGACTGTTTGGGAAAATAAAGAAAGAAATAACAAGAAGAAATGACACCATCATGAAAGCAAGATAAACGCTCAGCACTATTCTTCATTTGATTGAACGAGTAATGCATGTGTGATAAGTGTGCATGTTATGGCAGGAGCACAGATGGCGTCCCGTCACCGAGAGTTTCCAAGGAGATGATCTGGCTCCCAAGGGCAATGTCGTCAAGAAAGATGCTAGCAGCTCATCAGCTCACATCAAAATGTGGCAAAGAGCCCAGCTCAGTCATACGCTGATGCTGCTCCTCAACAACAACAAAAAGTAAGTAAATAAAAATAAAAAAAAATGTAATTTAACATAATTGCATGATATTTATCATATTTAGAAATGGTTTGATATATTTAAAATATTGACATTCAGTCTTTTCAAATATGCATCATATTAATAAAATGTGTAATTGTTATTATTATTATTGCTATTGCTATTATAATTAAATATATCAGTAGTAGTAGTAGTGGTGTAAAATTAAATGATGAGGATGATGATGAGTATTATTATTATTATTTTAATGCATGCTTGTGTGTATTTGCAGATTTACATATAAGTATTAAGGATTCAAACTGTATCACTTTACCACTGTATTATCTGTCCTATGCACCAAAATTTATGTTGAAAAAAGCAACACTAATGGATTACATTGTTCAATATGGTAATAATATTAAATAAAACCATTTTTGTGCATCTATTAATAATGTATTAATTTAATACATTGATCAATTTAATGGCAACAATGAATATAATATACATTTGACTATTGCAATACAGGCTGTTTGCATTAATGATTATAAATGTAATAATTATAATAATTATTATATTATTATTTATTGTTATGTATTATATAGTTTTATATTAAGAATGTATATAATATAAAATAAAATAATTATTATAATAAATTGTAATGTGATCCAGCATCCCCGCAACCCTACCGAGGACAAGCGATTTGGAGAATAATATATATAATAAAATAAAATATTAATATATTAAATATATATGAACAAAAAAAATATATATATAATGAATAATATAATATACACTAATAGTGTTTCGTTAATAAAACATTACAAGCACAGGACTATTACACTGCAGGCTGTATGCACAAGGCTCCATTCCACTGAATCCATTGTTCCAGGTTTTGTGTGAAAGGAGCTCCGTGTCTCTCTGAAGGCAGGTACTGTAGCCTCCCTCTGATTCCCTTCCTGGTGCCTGACACAGTCTTTAGGATAGAAGCCATAGAGCTGGTGTGAGAGCCGGGTAAAGTCCAGCCAGCATCACTCAGGCGCTGAGATTCACAATGAATGATTAACATCACAAAAGCCTCTCTGCACCTCCACGCTGTAGAACAAAAGAGCCGGATTCATCGGCCAGTGTCACTGGCTCGCTCTTGTGTCTTCCATCGGAGTCTCCATCAAGGGCTGGGAGTGGCTGCTGTCTTTGTGAGAGCGGAGCCGGGAAGCCCTCGGGTGAGCTGCGGAGGAGAGGAGAGCAGAGAGGCCAGCGTTCACACCCTGAGATGCTCTGCAGGCTGGAGGAGGAAGAGGAGATGTCTCTACTGGAGCTACAGCAGAGGGTGGACTGTATCATCACCTATGTTGGTGAGTGGATTATTCACTGCTGAGGCTGATGCGGGGGTGTTACAGCTGTGAGTGATCTGTCCAGCGCTAATTCAGATGCATTTAGGGGAAACCGTGAGGTGAGGTTTCCTGATGGTCAGTGATAGAAATAAAGCTGGATTTTAGACCTCTGTGCTTTCTTTTAACGTTAAATGTGAACATGAACTATTCAAAGCGGAAATTGCAGAATTATTGCAGAATTTTATTAGTTTCTTTTATTTTACTGTGGAGGTTATAGCTATGTCTTTGCATAGGAATTACCAGCTCATTTTATTTCTGATTTGGCACCTATTTGTTTCAAAATCACATACTTCAATTAATTCAATTAAAATGGCCTTTTCAGCAAATTCAGAAAATAAATACAGCTTAGTCATATTCAGATATAGCTCCTTAGCAAAATAAATAGATATTATTTATTACTATAGATATTATTATTATTATCACTCCTCCTCCTCCTCCTCCTACTAATTATTATTATTATTATTATTATTCATGCATGTTTGTGTGTACTTATAGATTTACACAAGGATTTAAATATTTTCATAGTTACATTTACATTTAGTCATTTAGCAGACGCTTTTATCCAAAGCGACTTACAAATGAGGACAATAAAATATTAAATACTTAATTTTTTTTAGTTAAATTTGCTACTGCATTACCAACCCAAAGAACCAACATTAATATTTTAAAAAAGAAAGCAAATTAATTACTTTGTTCAATAATAATAATGATAATATTAATAGTATTACACATTATGTATTTATTAATAGTAGGCTATATCATTAAATGAAATATAATTAAGGTGTGCAATGTAATGTAATAGAATAGAATAATATTTAGTTTTAATATTAATATAATAAGTTTTAAAAGCTATAAATAGGGCTCCATTCCATTGAATCCATAGCAGAAAGCACAGATTTTAGAGTATCAAAGTGCAAAAATGTGTTTGAATTTTATTAGTTAGATTTGATCATTTAATTACTTTTCTATTTAGAGTTGTTGAATAAGATTATTGCATCTGTTTGTGTCAGAATCACATGCCTTTAATTTGACGTATTTTTTCAGAAAATAAATGCGGCTTATGAAGCAATTCACTGAATGATTTGTTAAAAATCAGCTTAGTTAAATCTGCTTGAATAGGAAATCTGTGTATTTTAAACCCATCTTCGCTCTGGGAAGTGGTATTTTTCATCTTGCTGTACCATAAAAAGCATGGGAATATCCAGGTGCTTCCCCATGCCAGCGAGTGAAATAGGTTATTGTGCCATGCTGCTGTTCCCGCTGTCCTGCCTGAGAGAGAGGCGCTGCTGCCGCCCCCACTGCAGCCCTCGGGGGACGTAAAGACCGTTGCCATGGAAACTGAGATGGGCCAGTTCAGCCATATCGATTCACGTAGACACTCCGTGCTTTAAACACACTCTCGCTGCTTCCTAAGTTCATTATCCGCATTATAACACACCACTGCTTGAGCCGACTGAAACCCAGACGGCCTCTCAAACCTGCCTTTGGTTTCGGGCAAACAACAGACAACTGATAGAGTTATTTCTGGCTCTGTTTTGCTCAGAGGAAATCAGCATTAGCAGCATCTCTCCGGTGATCCATCAGAGCATCGACCTCTCTGAGTGAGTCACAGATGTGACCGTCCAGCCCTGTAACAGCAAGATGACTAAACACACCGAGAGCTTTCGCGCTCTGATTGGTCAGATGTGACATCACTCTCCTGTTAAATTCAATTTCTCGGTATAGAGCTCGTGAATATTGAACATGCCAGATGAGCAGTCAAGCATGCTGTAAAATAACAGCAGCTGAGCCTAATGCAGTTACATTTGCATATATAAGCTGAAATTCATATTTACACAGCTTTTTAAAAGTTATTAAAACATTAATAGCTTTCCTCTGCATTAAATAGATAATAAAGGCATTTATAATGTTACATAAATGCTGTTCTTTTGATCTCTCTGTTCATCGAAGAATCCTGTATCAGGGTTTCCACAAAAATATTAACTGTTATTAATATTGATAATAATTAGAAGTGTTTCTTAAGCACTCATTTTTCTAAAGGATCATGTGACACTGAAGACTGGAGTAATGATGCTGAAAATTCAGCTTTGCATCAGAGGAATAAATCATATTTTAAAATATATTTAATAGAAAAGGGTTATTTTTAACGTTAATAATATTGCAGTTTTTACTTTATTTTTGATTAAATAAACGCAGACTTGGTGACCACAAGAGACTTCTTTCCAAAACATTTAAAAAAATTACCAACCACAAACTTTTAAATGCAAGTATAAAAAATATTGGAGACATTGGAGTATATTTCATCTGTTTTTCTTCACTTTTAAAGATGAATGTGGCAAAAACGTGGCTTTTTGGTGATGCTAAACGTAGTACAGGTTTGACATGGTTTAAAAAAAAAAAGGAGAACATGTTAACAGCATCACAACAACATTACTGCAATGCTAGAAAAGACTTTTTATTTTGAACTTTTTGTTTTTGGTAACACTTTATTTTCTGGTGTCCTTGTTACACGTTACATGTACTTACTATTATAATAACAATAAATTATACATAATTACATGCAAGTAACCCTAAACCAAACCATCATCCTAACCCTAACCATATACTAAGTACATGTAGTTAATATTACTCAGTACTTAAAGGGGTTGTCCACAAGTTGATATGATTCTTTAGGGTCTTAATGAAAAGTCTGTAACATAGTTTGGTTAAAATTTCTCAATGGTAGTGTAAAAAAACACATTTTTTACCCTGTCAAAAACAGCTTTTTTCAGAGCAAGTCGTTTTGTAGCATTTTCCTTTAAATGTTAATGAGCTTTGCTGACTCCGCCCCTCTCTTCCGAGCTGGTCTCGGAAGGACTGTTTACTTTAGCCGCATTCATCGTGAAACTTGCTAATTA